ATCGAAAGGAATCCTGGGGTTAGCATAAAATCTGCCTTGCTTTGAACGATTGCAGGACGCAGTGATCAAGTCTGCGAATGGCCGGGCTATTATTCCGCTATGCACCCGTACCATGACTGGTGACACCAAAACTGGCCACTCTCTCGACCATTGCAAGCCCGCTTGCTCCTGTGGAAACTTAAGTCAACAACGTTTAGGACTCGTTTTAGTTTCCATGTTAGCGCACCTGGGGGCTTGAAGTTTAAGCACTGGCCATGTAAAGAACATGAGCAACATCGGGTGCTAGCAAGTGAAAATTGACAGGGGCAAGCACCTTTAAAACAAAGAAGTAGGAGCCCAAGGCCTTGCCAGAGTCCTATGTTTGAGAAGGTTTGCAAATGCTGGGAAAGCCCAAACAGCCGTTTCCTAAGGGGCCAACGCGACCATTCCGAAGCCGCACAGTGGCCATGGGAACGAGCGCGGTTTGCTGCCAGTTTGCCCCTTAGAGTATGGACTTAAACAGGAACTCACTAAGACCTGGGAGTTGGCTAAGCAGTTCGTTTGTAGTTCCTTACCCTCAATTCACTGCCCGGCGTCAGCCTAAGCCCTTGCAATCCTGCTTTACCACTGAGTCATCAAACAACTTGCGCTCACGTCACCTGCAAAAAATTAGTTGTGCGTGTGCGGGAGGAAAGAAGGAATCCCAAAGGGGCGTTGAAGGGCAAACAAAATGGGCAACAGTCTGGCGATGCATGGCTCTGGAATCCTTCGCTGTGCACACCCGGTTTTGATAGTTGATTCCAAAGGGCATACCCACCCAACAAAAAGCAGAAACAGAAACTGATCTGCACCATGGGCCCGGGAATCCCAGATTTCACCTTGGGTTCACGGAAGTGACATGTTCAATATTACCCTCTGAATGGTGGCAGAAGGGCAAAAGCTGCCACATGAAACATCCAGCTGATTTAGGAACGGATTTAAATCCTCGCCGCGTTTTCGGATGCAGTCCACCCTGAGGCCTGAGGGCATCTTCAGCGCCGAAGTCCAGGACCGGCATCTTGCCACCTGAAACCACATTCTTGCCCTACCAAGAACAAACATGGAACCCAGGGGTTGGAACACCAACTTGAGGGGACCGATTCCTGTGCAACCCATGCTCTTTTTTTTTTTTAAGTACCATTCTAATTCCGCCCTGGCGAATGGAAGGCCCGGAGCCCAAGATGGACACCCGTCCGGAGCTCGAGGGCAAAAAAGCCTTCGGGGAAGCAAAGAACAAGTTTCTAAACCCTGGAAGTATAAAAATGCTGGGTTGGCCGTCAAAATCGGGTGCCAACTGCCGAGGTCGTCCGTCATGATAAACAGAACACAGCAAAAGGACACATAGAGATGACACCGCTAAAGGCAAGAGAACCCCCTACCATCTGGCATACGGATTATGATTAAGGATTGGCTTTGAACAACCCTGAGTGCTGGAAGGCATGTCTTTCCCCTGTACCCACAAAGGCTCTAGGTATGACAATCTCGACTCGCATTGGAAAACCACTAGCATGCAGCTGTCTCCATTAACCTCGGACGCGGCCTGAACACCCCCATGCATACATGACCTTCCCGTCCACAAAGCGAGTGTTAGGATAAAACCATGCTTTGAGCAATCGCTTTGGTTTTCCTCTAAGGGGGCCAGGGGATGGTTTAGCACGTGTTGCCCAACCCCGGTGAGACAAGCAAATCCCTTGATGCAACTGGCATTCGCTTCGTACGTTGCAGCGGGCAGAGAGGCGTGGATTAATCAGTCCTGTTTGATTCATAGGCGGGTGTTCCCTTTTAGCACAGACCTCGGGAAACAAAGTCCAGTTGCATTTGCCACGGATTTTGGAGGAACCCCACTTTCCACGATCCCCTTCCCGAAACGTGAAGACATGACCCACTGGATTGACCGTCAATTGACCTCTTCGAATTGGCGTTTTCCGGATTGGGTCCAGCCTGTGTCATGCGCAGATTCTGCTAAGTCAGCCGCTTGTTGCATGTGATAGCTTCCCCCTCCCCTAGGCATGGCGTCTCTTTGTTTTGAGATCCGTTGGGCTGGAGCTTGACTTCAAGGGAAATGGGGCGGCGGAGCCACAAATGTTTGCCTTCCGCTGATTCTCCTGGGGTCTCCGATGCAGATATGCTTATGTTCAAGCTACACTCGATTGGACATGTGCAAGCAGCATCTTCATATGCAATTTGAGGATTAGATAATCTAAATCCTCGGCATCGGTGGCTTCTGGTTTTGCTGCGTGGCTCTTTCGAGGTGGTAATTTCTCAGGCCGTCTGTAGGTGTGTTTTTAAATCTGAGTTCTTGTTTCCGGGGCGTGTTACATGTCCGACGTCATGAAGTTGTTGATGGGGCTTCCGTCTTCTATAGGCTGGTCCACCACTGTATGGGCAAGCCAACTGTTTCACAAGTCCCCTAAGTAGGCTTACCCAACATGCAACCCACGACTTCAGGGTTCTCATGAACCACAGGCTAAGGAATAAAGCCGGATAAACCAACTGCCGTATTCGTAGGGTCCCATGTCGGGTGCCCAAGAACAGCTGCAAGCACGAGCTTTCTCGAGTCGCCAAGGTGCTGTGGGCCGGCTTGGCCCGGCACGCCAGCTAGCCGGCATTGTGTTGTCTGAGCCAAGAAGCGTACCCAGGAAACTGAAAGGAAAGAACCCCTATGTTGACACATGCCCGCAGCACCTGACCCTGCGTGGCGAGGCATTTTTGCAAAACGCGAATGTAGCAATTAGCGGTCCAAACTGTGAAACAGTTTGCGAGGCTCAGCGCTGGGCGTCGGCCTTGGAGCACGCTGAACCCCAAGCCTCATGCTACTTGTTCTGCACGTTCTCCTTTGCATATTGCTCAGCTCTGGCCGTGTGCTATTTGGCTGGGAAAAAGGCTGGCGACTTTCTCGGAAGAACACTTTTTTGCATAAGTCGAGCCAGAGCTGCATGACTGTACTCGCGTACTACTTTTGCACTGAACATTTGCGATGTTCAAGCTGAATCTTCGAAAGTGCACTTCACTTATCGCATTTGTACTTGACTTATTTCGAGGGCATCGCGTACTACTTTCGTGCTTGAAGTTTGCGATGTTCAAGCCGAGGCCGCGCCAGTGCACTTCGCGTACAACTTTCGCACGGAAAAGCTGCTACTCAAAGCTCGCCCAGACCAAGGGCGATTCGGGCCTGACACTTTCGAGCCCACTTACCGACAAGAACAGCAATTGATGTCCATTATTTTTGAACATTGACCACGCCCATCTCCGCAGAGGGTCGCGCGGGCAACTGAAAAAGGAGCATTGCCCCTCAGGTTTTGAACAACGGCCGCGCAGATCCGCGCAGGTCGCGCGAGCACTCCAAAAAGTAGCAATCGCCCTCAGTTGTTGCATGTCGACCAGGCCGATCCACTAAGAGGGCCGCGCCGGTGTTGAGCACCGTGTTTTCTTGGGGTAGGAGATATTCATCGGCTTTTGAACCTCCCGGAGTTATAGATTCCCTTTTAAGCCAACAGGACACAGAATAATAACACATACAATATTCATATCAGCAAGTCGGAGAAACAGAAAATGTGCCCGCACAACTCAGAAAAGCAAGTTCCTCTTGCAAGTCCCTAAAAACCGGGCTGGGCAAACTTGTGACCAGGCGAAAGGATCAAACCATGGCTCTCGAAACCCCCACACCTCTCAGCGTCAAAGTCACTGCAGGTCACAACATGTTCCGTGAAGCCAGGTGAGCTTTCAAACACTTGGCATCTTAGCGCACAATTTGGCTCTTTGCAGCTCCCTGCTTGAAATGAGCTGAACACAACAACCACCGACTAAGACAATAACAAGCCAAGAGCAATGAGGCATCGCCAGAGGGATAAGACAAACAACCCGCCTCCCATCCAAGAGCGCAGTCTCTCTCTGCCTCCCGCATCAGGTGGATACCAAGCGAAGTCCACTTAGGGACCGCAAGTGCTGAAAACAAGCATATCAGAATTAGGCTCGTAGGCAGATCTTTGCACTAGGAAATCAGGCTGCATGTTGGATGCGCGATCTTCCGTGGGTGCCAGTGACAGTGAACAATCGAACTCGGGATATGCCTTGTTTGGAATAATAGCTTTCAATGGGACAACGGAACCATACATTGTTCACGCCCCCGGCCTTGCAAACACAAGGCAAAAGCTTTTATGAAGCTGACTGTTGCAGATCAGCCTACAGTTCAAGAATCCACTGCTGGCATCCGGCGCCCTTTCTGCGCTATGCCGGGGCACATGTGCGATTGTCTCTCCCCAAGTCCGGGGTTCCAATCTCTTTGTTGCTGTTTGAAGTGATGGTCCATGATGAATAAAGTACCATTTGATTTCTATCGTTCCTCGCCCTCGGTTCCTACACCAACTTTGAAGGGAAATGGACTTGGAGGCATCGTTTAGCCATGCCCATTGGCCGTTTGGCAAGCTTTGCTTTGCAAAGCTTCATAAAGCTTTGGCTTCCAGGCCAACGGGCCTAGAAGCAACACATGTGCATCCTGGCTCCAGTGGAGAATCATAAGGAAGGGCCCCTGTCCATTGGTCGGATAAAACCCTGGGCACTGGGAGACTACTTACCAAAGAACTCCCCCAAAGATTGATACAAATTCGAACCCCGACGAGTGCAACCACCCCTGATTAGTACCGTGCTCCGGATCAATCCGAAGCTGACATTCAAACGGCTGGATGCTTCTGATGGGTAGTGGAACATGCAAAATCACGCACTTCTCCCAAAGGCTTGCGGCAGAAATGGTAGACAATTGGCAGCTGTGACCAGGAGGGAACAAAACCAATAGTATACTTGAATGAGGTCATCTTTTGGAGGCTCGGAGATTTCGTGTGACGTCTTCTGTGCAATCCTGGGTGTGCTTGCCAAAAAGATGTGTTCTTGGCAGTGCCTGACTTAATTACCAGAAAAGACAAACAAATTGCAACTAGCTAACAATCATGCCAAGAACAGTGATATCTTGGGTGCTGCTGAATTTCTTTGCCCCCAAATCTCCACCGGTGCCGCCCAGGTGACACCGCCGACCCTGCAGACACTCAGACTCATCGCACCATCGGAGCACGCAACGGGACTTTGTTGCCCGTCCTGGCGACCGCAAAACCCAACCGCACTCAGCACCCCTCTAATTGGATCTAATTGGTGGTTCGGAGTCCGGTGGTTTGGAGGTTGAGTGGAACCACCCATTGGCCCACAAGAAGAAAGATCTCAAACCCCCAAACCACCAATCAAGGGTCCGGAACCTTGGCATGGTAGCAGACAACTGTGAGTTTTGCAGCGCCATCGCTAAAAATAACAACATACCAAACAAAAATGCTAAACAACTAAACCACCTGCCAAGAACAAAGACAAGGTTTCCGTTTAGGGGCCCAACCTTGACACCCCCTTTTCGGAGACTTGCCCATATGAGTTTTTTAAGTTGGTACCCATAAAAAAGCCTGGTGTCTATAGGAAGCGAAGAGGACAACCACCATTGTCTGCGGACCCCTTGTTTTGACAAATGCCCACATGGACAGCTACCCAACAAATGTGTTGCCAACGGGTTTTGAAAGGGCTTGTACAGGGGTCCAAAAGCAGATGTCCAACTTACCCCTTAAATGTCCAAGCCCTGGGGAAGTTAACCTTTTACATACATATAGCCCATGTTACCCCCAAAAAGTTGAAAAAATGTGTTTTTAAGAGGTAAGCCAAGCACTCTATGTGGGCATGTGTCATCATAGGGGCACCCAAAGAAGGCGTTCTTCCTTGTCGTTTCCCTTGAAATCAACCTAAAAAACGGCCCCCTCCAAACACGCACGCACGCACGCCCGCCCGCCCCCGCACCCGCCCCCGCACCCGCACCCGCACCCGCACCCGCACCCGCACCCGCACCCGCACCCGCTCCCGCACCCGCACCCACACACACACACACCCACCCACCCACCCACCCACCCACCCACCCACCCACCCACCCACCCACCCACCCACCCACCCACCCACCCACCCACCCACCCACCCACCCACCCACCCACCCACCCACCCACCCACCCACCCCCGCCCGCCCGCCCCGCCCGCCCGCCCGCCCGCCCGCCCCCGCCCCCCCGCACGCACGCACGCACGCACGCACGCACGCACGCACCCACACACACACAAACATGTGGCTAAAGGTGGAGCATGGTCCAATCAGGGGCCTTGGGCAGACTACGTAATGCTCGCCCTCAACAGGTCCCTTCTCATAGCTCAATCTCAGTTGCCCAAAGGGGTTCGAGGTAAAAGGTCAATTGGAACCTTGACTAAGAATGAACCAGAAAGGGGAAACCAAAAGGTCAAAAGGTCGGCTTGGGGCAAGTGAGCTGAACAATCGGCCTTTTCGCGAACTGATTCCGAGAAAACAAGGAGAAGGGGCTTAGGAATGTGTAGAAATCCATGACTCTTGTGACAACTGAGCCCTACACGGCGAATGCAAACATCTACGCAAACTCGCGCGAAGTGACACAGCCAGTCCTTGTGTTGACCCCCTTCTTGTCGTGCAAGTTGAAGATCTGCCAAGGAGCGATGCATGGGCTGAAGCACATTTCAGTATGATCAACCCACCCTTGTGAACCCTTGCGCATGAACGGAAGGATCCCCAAAAAGAGCTGTCTCGTATGACTCATAAGGAGACTGTTGCATAAATTATGGCTTGCTGGTTGCATGTTAATTTACAGGGGACGTGCTGAGAGTGAGACTCAATCTGGGCAAAGTACTATTCTCCACAAACCTGAAACAAGTATTCCTAAAGTAAGCATGAATAAGCAACATTTGTCATAGGTGAGCTACCTTTTATACATAACCGTTTGTATTTAAGCTGTATTGACCTTTAACTGCAAACAACACATCTTCCAATAACAATTCAGCAATCCATGAGTCCAACAAATGTTCTATAAGTGCTCTTTTGTCCAGACTCCATCCGGCTGCCTTTTTCGGAGCAGGCGAGTTCAGCCAAGTGGCGTACTCCGTGCCATGCAGAGTGATGGCGACTTCGTTGTCCCCGTCTTTCATAGCTTGAATCCTCAGAGTTGTGGCTTCTCTTAGTGGGGGGCGTGAGCTAATTTAGGGGTCCTTAACGTTACCCCATGCTAAACAAGGGTTCTGACAATGCTACAACACATCCCGTTTCAGATTCCTTTGCATGAGATCTATCATAACATTACTTGCTACTTGGCACCCACATCGTCAACCAAATTGTCAAATTCGGCTCCAAGAATGCGCGAATTTAGCTTGAAGCCCAACATATTTGCGAGTAGCTAAAGGGTTTCAGTGGGCGGTGCCTTTTGCAACTGCTTGAAGCCCATCGGGCTCGACGACAAATGGCTGCTCAAAACGAAAGCCATCCTTGAAAGGCCCCGACCTTATCCCCAGTTGCCGGTAACCCTGGCAGAAGGGAGCCCTTGGGGTTCACCAGGTTCAATCGAGAATGCACCAGGCAACAAACACATGAACAGATTCCGGAATCCACTGAGCAACCGTGCTCCAACTATACTAGCTATACACGATCCCCAACCCCACCCTTTAACTCACTTCCGGAGTGTATTGACCAAGAAAAGTCAAACTTTTGCCACCCAAATATATTTCCTTAAAAGTAAAACATCAAAGAACTCACGGAGTGAGTAAATCCCTTTGCCACCAAGAATATGCTTTCTGATTCTAGTCCATATTTGACCTACCCAACAATCGAAACCGTTTCGATGCGCTTTAGACACCTCTGGAATGGCCCCAAAAAAGGTTGGAGGTCAAGACCCACCGCACCACTGGGTTGCAATTGTACACCGACCAAAACCACAGCCGCTGAAGGAAAAAGGTTGGAGGTTAAGAGATGTTAAGAGAGATGTTAAGAGTCCAAACAAAAAGCAATCAAGCCGTGTACCCACGCACTCAGCAGGGCTGCTCTTCCTGCTCAAGCAAAAGGTCTAACCTTTTACAGGTTTATTGGACAACATACTTTTTCCAAGGTCACACCAAAGACCACCTAAACAAAAAACGGGCGTTGAGGAACCAACTGGGCCTAAGCTCCCAAGCCTCGTGGCATCTCGTGGCGCGTTCTGAGGACTGGACAGCACTTTGTTCACTTCGGGCGGCACGTTCCTTAGCGAGGCTTGCAAACAGGGCTAGGCAAAAACAAACAACCAAGTCACGCAAGCACGCAAGCAAGCAAGCAAGCAAGCAAGCAAGCAAGCAAGCAAGCAAGCAAGCAAGCAAGCAAGCAAGCAGGCAAGCAAGCAAGCAAAGCAAGCAAGCAAGCAAGCAAGCAAGCAAGCAGGCAAGCAAGCAAGCAAGCAAAGCAAGCAAGCAAGCAAGCAAGCACAGAATAAAACAAATAATCAAAAACCTAAATACAAATACAACAACACACAAACTAAATAGATAAACCCAATAAGAATAATTATCTATCTCTATATCTAAATATTATCAAAATAAGTAAACCAAATCACACGCACAAACGCACAAACATGAGCAAGAACCTCTTTCATACTCTGCATGTTGCTCTGGGGGAAGGGTGCAACCCACCGCTTTAAGCTGGGATGTGATAGTTTTAAGCATCCCTCATAGAGTTGTTCCTAGGACTCCCTGACCGGCTTCCCCTTCAAGGGGGAAGGGGGGTTTAAGCGGGCGGGGCAGCATGCTACTGATTTAGGCCCACAGCAAAGGTAGCCATGGGCAGGCTATGGCAGTGATGTAACTATGGCTCCCCGTATGGCTCTAAATCAGGTGACAAATTGAAAGGCCTCCTCCCTCCTGATCGAGTGGATAGGCCAAACAAATCCAAACTGTTTGTTTGCCGCCACAAGGGCTTTCAACAAAAACGAAAGTGCAAGAACTTGGGGAGTGAGGGTGAAACGCCCAATCCCTGCCTAGAACCAACCCCGGAACCATGGACCTCGCAGCCCAAGTCACTGCGTACCGATCTGGTCACGCCACATGTTTCTGAAGCTGCCAAGTGGGCCTTCCAACACTTAGCATCTTAGTGTTCTTCGCAGCCGCTTAAAAAGAGCGGAACAAGACAAAAAACTCTCTTTTACCTGGCTTTCCTCACTCTTTCCAAGGTACTTCCAGTCGCCAGCCTTCATCTGCCAGAATCTGCCGGTAGTTCCTGAAGCGAAGCCATCTCTGTGCCCAACTCTGACTTCAACCCAAGGTAACCCCCCAACCCCAGGCTTTCTTGTCTTGGCCCCCTTGGTTTTTGAGGGAATATCAGCCAATATCAGCCAAAGCCGGGGAAACATTGTATACAAATGCGCGTTATACAAGCGGAGTCTATAATCGAGCCTTGACACACGAAGTCCATCCTGCGAGCGCTGTTTAGTCACCTACAATCCCAGGGTCTAAACGATGTACATTAAGATCCTGGCCACGAAACAGAGACCGTTTGGCCTTTGACCAGTGGGTGAGGGGATGGCTCTGGTGATGCAACGATCCATGGCCTTCGGCTCCTGTCGCAGTCAGTGCCCCTTTTTGGGACTAACGGTCTGTAATGGAAAGTCCACGGAACGAAAAGGGCTGGACCACACTGACGAACAAGGTTTCAAACTGCACAGCGACCAAAAACCACACCGACTGAGGGAAGCAACTGGGCACCCACAAGTGAGGCTAGCATTTTTGCACCCAGGACCCACAAATCAAGAGCGATTTATAAGAAAACGCCTACAAAAGGGGTTTGATACCATTTGGTTAGTTGCTTACATGTCGTTGTTTGCGGGCCAGGCATTGAGGAAGTCGTGTCAGGTGACCCAGTGGATCTGGAAAGGTAATGTTTATAACCACCAAAAGAGAATATACGCAGCCCTGACCGAGGGAAGCCCAACGTTTTAGGGTTCGAAAACCATACTTTCCCCAACAGCTGAAAGCTTCAAAACCCCGCCCAACCAGGCTGCACATAAGGTTCGACGTGGGCCACCTGGATTTTCTCCAAGGCGTGGGCAGCAAGTAATATTATACCACTTCGGACGAATCAGGAGCGTGCTATATAATCAGGAGTGGTTCCCCTTGTGCCTAGTACACTGAAATCTCCTGGGTGAAAACTAACAACCCCTATTTTGGAGAAAAAGAACCTATTTAGGGGTTCCTCTCGTTAGTAGGGTTAGGACTATTTCAAAGTGGGTCATCCAAGTTCTGAGCGCCGAACCAGTGGTTGGCACCACCATGTGGTCAGGGACCTGGAAATCGAGATCTGAATCCGGTTCCCAAAGATGCTTCCAGCAAGGCTCACATGCACCCCCCAAAACAGGCCAAAAGCAAAAGAAGACCCTGTGTTTTTTCTGCTTTTAGGGGGTGCCCATGCTGATGGTGAAGCATTTGGATTCTGTTATGGCCCAGGTTTCTTTCCGGAAAGTGGAATGACTGCAAATGAGTATGTTCCGCGGAAAGCCAGCAATTTTGCTTGCTAGGTTTGACGGTGAGATGGGGTGCGGAAAAGTGGAGTAAATTGGCACGGCGTGACTAGGCGTGGCATCGCGATTGGAGTGGAGTTATATAAGTGATTGAGTGATTTTTGGTGATTGAGTGAGGGTGCGAGTGTGCCTGTGAGTTTGGCTGCGTCCGTATAGCTGGAGCTGCGATAGCAGAAACACACATTTGGTCCGCTTGGTCTGTCTGTGTCTGGGTGCAGGTGTTGCTCGCGTGTTGTGAAAAACAAAGCACAGAAGAGTGTATAACACAGCATGTGAAAGAACATGCGCAGCAAAGTGTGCCAATGAGTATGTGTAGGTGGGTGGGTGGGTTGGGTTGGGTTGGGTTGGGTGGGGTTGGGTTTGGTTGGGTGGGTGGGTGAAAGGTTAGTGCATGCGTGCGTGCGTGCGTGCGTGCGTGCTTGCACAAATGCACAGGCCTGGCGCAGGGCAAAAGGAGCCACGTATGTGGGCTGATGAGTGGTAAACGCTCATGCAAACCAGCGGGGGGGTTCTTCACAAGCAATCCATCAGAATGCCACAGCACATGCGGCTTCGGAAAGCTACGCCAGAACAAGTGAGGTCTGTTCAAGCACCTGCCGATCCCAACCCGAACCTAGGGCGACCTTGACCACCGAATGTGTTGCTCGGAGTATCCTCCATGGGCCGAGGGAAAAAAACTCAAGCGGAGCCTTCATTTTGTCGTACTGCCGCCGGTAGATGATGGCATACTCTGGGTAGACCTGCGCAGTGCGCAGCCCTTGCCCGTGCCTCTCCCTCGACCGACTGCGGCAGACTTCTGAACAACTTGACTTCGATTGCAGCCATGCCAGCAACATATGGGTGTCTCAAAATTAGGGACCCCTTCAAGCTGGATTGAACTTTCCTAAGGGGTCCATGTCGGTTTCTCTCATCGGGGCACTCCAAAATAGTGGTTTTCATGTTGGTGTGCCCTTAAAACAAGGTGACAAGGGTACCCGCAAAACAAGACACGTGTTGGCCAAGACCATTGTAGTGGTTGATCTAACTGTTCAATCACTGGGCAGGGTCCAAGACCATCAAAAGCGAAGGGCCGGCCATGCCCCAAACCTGGCGCTCGTCGAAGAAGACGAACTCGCGGTAGGTGCCAACCTCCCACACAGGGAAACAACGACAAAACAAAGCAGGTTAGGTCGGGCATTTCTTCAAGACAGGACCCGGGGGGGGGGGGGGGGTGCGCGAAGGAATAAATGCAGAACCCAAGCAACTGAAGGAAGCTTCCCTTTTTAGGCCTCTTTGAGGGTGCTCGTAGACTCTTACTGTTGGCAGGCAGATATGCAATGCTGCGCAGGTGCACATGAGCAGGTGTTCTTATCCGTGTGCTGCCCTGGGTGCTGCACTCTGCATCAAGTTTGCACTCCGCAGGCTGGCCCATTTTCTTGATAGGACAGCTGCACTGTCAACACGAGGCCAAGAAACATCAGCTAGGTAGAATTGGGGAGCTCCTGGTGCCGCCTTGCGCTGCCTAGATAGAGAGAGAGAGAGAGAGCGAGTACCAAACAAGATCTCATTTTGATCTCGATAACACACAGGCGCAACAATTCAATCACCAATCTACGTCATGAAAAACACCCACGTCATGGACATCGCTTCGCAAAGACTCTACAAGTTGCGCAAGAAACGTATCAGCTCGGGCACATCTTGGAAATCAAAGAGGTCCATACGGGCCCAACCTTTAGGATTACTTCCTGGCCTGGGGCCAAAAGGGTTCATGGTTGTTCCAAAATGGTTGGTGGATGAATCTCACCAATAGGTTCCCTATTAAAGTTCACACACCAGCATATTGAAGGGCACTTGATGTGTTTTTGAATCGAGGGCCGTGTCGGTGCCCCAAGTGACCATTTGATTCGTTTGCTAAGTGCCCTTTTTGCCTTCATAGGGTTTGGGGTCCTGTTGGAATCGAACAGCTACGCGTGCAACTGCCGCATTTGATTGGGGCCGACCCCGAATGGCCCGAACATGGCGTTTTGAGTGTCAAAGCGTGTCATTTGAGTGTCAGTGGGGGCGCGAATCAAGGTTACTTACCCCTTCAAAAGGTCACTTACGCTAGTGTCGGTCCCCACTGCGTGAGTGTCATGCGCGTGTCGCTGCGGCTCGATTTGCCCGGGCTGGGGAGGGATCTGCCGGAAAGGGCAAGCCTGAGGGTCTAAGTGCCCTTTACAGTAAATGGCTTATGATACCTCTTTGATTTAGGACTAAGTGACCTTATTTTCAACATGGATCATAGCTCCCGAAAAATGAATCGAGGGCACTGAAAAGAAGCTGGCACTCGGCCGGGAATCTATCACTACTGGAAATACCAATTTGGTGGAGAATCATGTTCACAGGAATCCCCTTTTGGGGCTGGTCCGTCAATTCGCCGCGGGCCAACTGCCCCAACTCCGCCCGCAGGATCGAGCGGGTTCGATCCCGAAGGATGGCGTGCTCTGCCTGAACTTGGCCGATTGGTTTTTCGATTCAGATTCAAACCGAGCCTTATCTGAATTACCAGCACGGCCGCAATTCCCAGCAGGACAAAATTGCCTTCCTGAGTGGATTAGTCTGGACATAGTAACCAAAGGCTTTGTTTACCGGCAGAATGGTCCAACCCCCAAAAGTTAAAAGCCCAACTCAGGGCAAGTCTCCTAACATGGATGGCCTTTCGGTTTCCCCCGAACGTCTGCATCTCCCGCGCCTTGGCTTCGCGATCCCCACAGATGCAGTCGAAGCCTCCGGCGCGGGCGTCCGGCACGTGATCGCCGGCGGAGTCCACCACGTGGACGTTGCCCACGTAGCTTCGGCCTCCAAAGCGCGCTGGTCACCCGAGACTCAAGGGGCACATGGCCGTGATTGGTGGTTAGGTTTCTTTTGGGTTGTGTTTTTTAGGGGGAGCCAAATGAAAACCACCGACTTTTTGGGGGTCCCCTAAAAGAGGACACACATATATATATATATATATGTGGGCCGTACAATTAGACTAAGATGGTCAGATCTATAAAGCCCAATTTCACCCTCGTAATCAAGCAAGGTACTAGAACTTGTGCTAAAATTGCCAATATGTGTTTAGGAAGCTGCCAAAAAGATAATGGCGTGAATAGGAAGCTGCCAAAAAAGGCGTGAATGATTCAACTGGGTTGTGGGGTGGCTCTTTCGGTCCAAATTACCTGACAGTGAGCGAAGACATTGTTCATGTAGGCCCTTGTGCTACTGGTGTTTTGCTATGATGCCAGCTCCTGACTCCAAGCATTTCACCACAGATTGGCTGACTCGTTGATGCGCGTCCAAAATGTCAACGAGCGCATTGCGAAGGGCTTCTGTACATCGGGATTTGTGCCTTTCAGTTGGGCTCACTGTGGAAAACCCCGCGTACATGGTGGGAGCAAAAGCTTCATTTTCCACCCCGGCTTTGGAAGCTCAATGACTTGAAATGGAGCCGTAGCCGTTGCCGGGAGAAAGCTTTATATACCCTATTAAACCCGTTGGGGCGTGGTCGGAGGAAGGGTCCGTTGACAACGGCCCAGTGGCATTTGCCAGACTCCAAGCCCGAAACCCCCGCAAACGCCCTGGTTCTTCATTGGCTCATTGGCCATTCACTTGTGGCTTTCGGAACCTAGCCACAAGGGAACAAAGCGGATTTGTTAAATAGTCGAGCTCGTGCAAGTTATTTTTGCTATGCTACCAAAAAACAAAATATTCCTTACAGCAACATAGCCAACACGCAACATGCCAAAAACTGAAAAGGAATCCGTCCCACTGGTTCTTTTCTGCATACAAAGGAAGAAAGGATTCCCTGGCATCGCAGTCACGCAAGTGAAACAATATGAAGTCATTCAGCCTGGTCAAGCTCCGTGGCATGAGTGGTTCCTGAGAAATCGGGAATCTTTGAGTATGGTGGACACGTAGTCTATGTTGCAACCACCTTCTTTTAAAGAAATAATTGCTGCGTGTCTTTAGGACATGGTGCCGCAAAATAGCCTCAAGATGATTGTGGCACAAAGGCACAAAGTACCGTGCCTGCCTTTTGTGGACTGCCTCAAGCTGAAGAACGCTGTTCACAGCCGCACTGAGGCAACCCGGAGCTTAACGATAGATCGTAATGTGCATGGATATAGTTATGTATATACAGAAACACATATACACCCACATATATATCATATATACATATCTACATATCTGTGTATAACTTCATCATGGCTCATTTGCAGTATCTGTGGGAATGCCTGGGAAATGGACATGCCCCTGCTGTCCCTTCGCGTGCCGGTGATCTGCTGGAAGCGAAAGGAAGCAAGTCCAAGTCGCCCACCCTAGACCTAGACAACAGTCTCAGCTTGGGAATAATTTGTTTAGCAACCCAAGATGGAAGGCGCTCCCTCTCACCCAGCATGGAATCTGCCTTTTTCCTTGGAAACTAACTCGCCTCTGAAAGGGACCCCCTCGTGGGTGCAAACATAACCTGTTCAAAAACACTTTACCAGACAACACAAAGAAACAAACAAAGGACGCAACTAAACAAAGAACCAACGGACGCACACAAAGAAAGGAATGAAGAAAGAACAAAATA